ACGATGTTCTTTATCCTAAATTCGCTCATGGCGGCTTTCTGTCCGTCCATATCATCTTTGGCCGTCCCCATGGTCTATTTCCAGCCCAAAGACATTCACTCTTGTAAAGTGGGTTTCATCTCCTCTACTCGCATGCTCGTATCACCGCAACTGTTTTTACATCTACTTGGCAACAATTGAAGCGACTTCATCCCAGCTCGAACTGTGTTCTTACAGACATGATCCAATAAGGTGATACCCGGGCCCATCGCAACATTCTCGTCCATTAAGCTTGTTTTTTCTTTTCGTGTTATCGACCAACACTCACAGCCATACAGTGCTGTTGGACGATCATAGTACGATATAGTCCAACTTAAGTTGCAGCGGCAGTCGCTTGTCATATAGAACTGAGTCCATTTCATCCAAGCTGCGTTTGTCCTGACCGATAGCTCATCTTGTCCTCCTTCGCAGAGATGCGGCTTCCTAGGTACGTAAAGTATTCGTTTTCTTGATTGGCTCATCATCGATGTATGTTTCTGAAGTTAAGCCTCCCATTTTCAAATATTTTGTCTTCTTTGTGTTGAGCTGCATAACTATGTCTTCTCTTTGTTGAGCATTGAGACGATAAATAAACTGTGGGTATATTTCGATGGATAAGCAACGTAACGTTAGAAGGCTTTGTCTCCTATGCATTTAACTACGACGATAACTATAACTAATGTACGTAAAAGCATATGTTTTCAGTAAGGACTTGAAAAGGTTGAATAGTATTTTGAGACAGAAAAAATACCCGAAGTCCATTTCCAGCCATGACTTGCGCTTCAACCGTGGCTATGGCGGTGATAAGAGAGCGAAGCGCATCGGCAGTTACTCCGAACTGAGCCGGATTGTGTTGAGCAGTACCCATAGCCCTAGAGATTGCATATTCAAGATAAAGGCCGATGATTTCTATTTGAGTCATGACTGAGAGACATAGGTATTCGTCTTAAAAATCATACCGGCAATAGATGTTCCAGTCATTTTTAATAGCCGGTCGACTTTCGATAATTTTGTCAGTTTGGAGAAGGATTGCTAATAATTCTCCGAGCCCGGACCAAGCCCGAAAAAGCTTACACTCAAAAGCACCTGGTAACACATTCTTCCTAAAGTTCAAAATCATATAGGTCAAACCATTTAAGGAATTTTCTAGACTTCTAAAAACCTACTCCAGCCCATGAAAACAACGTATTTGGAAGAGGAGGTTGCGGAAGAGAAGAGCGACCCTTGCCAGAAATTGTGACAGATCAAGAAGAACAGGAAAGAATTCAGTCATGCATCGAATTGGTCGACACTGATCAAGGGGATCCGACTCCGACACTAAAAAGCGGTTATCTCGTCTTTTCGACGTGCGCTCGGTATTAGGTTGTTTTCCTAATCCGAGCGCACGTCGAAAATGATTTTTTTCCTAGCCCTTATTTTCATTTTCTTGAATTTGATTAAAATTTTGAAAGCCCTTTCAATGCTCGATAAGCTATGCTTACCGTTTCTTAAGACTTCTGATTTCGTTCTGACTTTGAGCACAGAAGTGGAGTATTAGGTTGAAAAAAGCAACGTTTTCGACGCCTTCTAGCGTTTGCTTTATGTTGCCTTAACGAATTGGCTCACTATTGTGCTTGTGTGGACGATGCTATGTTTCGTAGAGAGTGGATGGTTCAACTACTGGCTTCCCTACACTGATCGTTCTAATTTCGCAATAATAGGCAAAATGTACCTCTCTATAATGAAGTCTCTCTCAGAATTAACTAAACGACTTCTCCCTATTCTGATGTAGCGAAACCCACAAAAAACAGATCTCAAGCAAAGATAAAAAGTTTTTGTTCCACTGCTCTTACTTCAAATACAACTGCTGTCAAGTGAATTTCAGGAAATCGCGGTAAGTGATGAAAAATTAGATGCTAGAAATACTTCTTTTGCACCGCGACGCTTCATTTCTTAATTAGTACGAAAATAAAAGAATGAAAGGAATTGAGGATATGATTAAAGGGATTTTAGTAGGGTTTGCAAAGGGCTTCCAAAATATATGCAATGTTTGTCAAAACGTAATAATGCGGAGAAATTAGCGTGAATATGAAGTGACAACCTAGTGCTTACTCACCGCAGTTCTCATATAGTAGGAGGGACGGGAAGAACTTCTCGGATGCATCGTTCCGGATTTCAGAAACTTCGCTCAGAATGGTTGCTAGCGTAGAACAGCATTTGTCTACAGTAGGATCATCACAGCATGTGAGCGAATCGACAGAACGGATAGCGCCCAAATCTAGAGCCTGAAGATAAGAAAAGCAGAATTTTCAAATTTATATATGCGCAGTGAATGAGACTGCAATCTGTTCGAGCACACTCAGTTCGAAAATTCTAGTACGCATCATTCAATGTGATAAACATGATTTGCTTATTGTTCCAATTCTATTTTCTGCAACAGAGTAGTTTTGAGCAAAAATTCACGATATATGTATGAATAAAAAATAAAATTAGCTTAGAGCTTCTACTTAAACCACGTCAACAATCAACCTCTCGTTTCCTATTCTAAACATTTAATAGAGACCAGCTTCTGCATGAGCAACAGTCACATGTGCGCAAATAAAATCTGAAAGCTGAAATGATGCTAAGCTAACACAATAGATAAGGGAGAATGAATGAAATTAATGAAGGAGGACGACAAGTATAGTGATGTGCTGTATCAATGGAAAAAAGACAGGAAATAAAGAGATCTATTCACCTTTTCTAGTGCTACACCATATACCAAAGATGGCATTCATTCTGGGAAGTTCAAATTTGGAAGTTAGAAAGTTCCCCCTTCATTACCACCGTAAGATGGAGTGAGCTTAACAAGGGAGAGACTTCCAAACCTTCAAACATGACAATTTCCATTTTCAAGAGGGAGAAAAGCCAATTATAAATGCCCAGAACGTTCAGCAGATGATCTAAATAGATTGAAATCTAAATCGTGAG